TCTTATGGCGCGTTCACACTGGAAGCGGATCCGCGTTCGCGAAGCGGATCCGCGCGTTCTCAACCGCAAAGCGGCTAGGATCGAGCGGTTGGAGCGCGTTTTTGCCAACCGCTTCGGGACCGATTTCTCCCAACCGCTTTCACGGACCGCAAAGCGGCAACCAATCACAGCGCGACGCTGACGTGACGTCAGTGAGTTTCGAAACAAGATGGCACCTGTCGGTGGTGAGGCGTCCAAGGCGGTGTAGTCCTAGCGCTGTAGTCTTAGCTTTCGAGAAATCAACGGAGAAACTTGATGTTCACATCCGTCACTCGAATCCGCCGCGAAAAGAATTGACTCCTAATTTTAACGGGCTTCGCACCGGTGATTTGGTTCGGGTAAGAGTTTGTTTATTATTCCGGGTGCCACAGCCCAAGCTCGCTGCCTTGTTAATCTCTGCCTGTAGAACGTCGGAACCCGCCCCTGATCGACCGAAATGTCAGCCTTTTTACCCACTAAGGTAGTTGCGTGAGCTATCGAAAGCTTTCGACACCGTGCATGACCACCACGAAGGCCGATAGAGACGTCGTGAGCTTGATTGCGTAGCCAACGCACTATCGCGGAGGGGGCAGGGTACCTGCGCTAGCTCGACCTGTAACGTTTACTACTAATAAAATAAATAAAGGGAACCTACTCAAGGAATAAAGTGTACGTACCAGACAATGTAGAGGTAATCCATAGGGCGTTTATTTGAGCTTAATGTCAAACAAACAGTAGACTCGATCGACGTGCGAGTGACGATGCGAGTGACCAGCATATGTCGGACAACTATGACGTCATGCTCAAGCGCGTTGGTGAACAGGACGAAGAAATAAAAAGTTTAAATAAAAGGGTTACAAACTTGGAAAAGACGAACGCAGAGTTGGAAATAGAACACTTAAAACAAAAGGTGCACGATCTTGAATGGAGAAATCGCAGGCAAAACCTCGAACTGCATGGGATTCCTGCAAGCGAAAAAGAAGATCTTCTGTCTAAAATAAATGAAGTGGCAAAGAACCTGGATGTGCCTGATCTGACATCGGATCAAATTATCGCAGCACACAGACTTCCCTCACGTGCAGACAAGATCCCCGGAGTCATTGTTCGCTTTGTCAGCCGGGTGACACGCGATATGTGGCTAGACCGGCGGTCACGACTAAGGAATGCTCGGAGTAAGACATATATCTTGGAAAACTTAACGCAGCAAGATAAGGCACTACTGTGGGAAACGAAAGAATGTTCAAAAACAAATAGGTTCCAGTACGCTTGGTATAAAAACGGCAAGATTTTTGTCAGGGAGAGGGACGGAACTCAAGCACATCTAATAAAGACTAAGGATGACTTGCAAAAATTGGAGTAGTTTTGCTTTGGGTATTGCATTTTTTTTTATCTTCACTCGCAATGACAGTTCCTTCTTACTTATTGCCAAACGAGGTTGTTAAACTTTTTAAAGACCAACCAATTGTGCCCTTTTCGTTATTTCATTTAAATGTTCAATCAGTGCGAAACAAGTTTGATGAACTTAGCATCTTTCTGGACAGTTTTACATTTTCTTTTGATATAATAATGCTAACTGAAACATGGTATAACCAGAGTGATGAAGTGGACCGACTAGAGAAGTATGCAGTATTCAATTTAAATCGTAGCAACAAAGTAGGAGGAGGTGTATGTATGTACGTTAAAAAAGACCTTGAATATAATATTGTCAGTGATTTCACAGCGACAACAAAGGACTATGAGATTTTAACTTTACAACATGCTAAATTTGTATTTTCTGTCGTCTATCGACCGCCATCTGGGAATGTTGCGACCTTCCTTGAATTTCTTGAAAATTTTTTAAAGGTTGTTGGTGAAAATAAATCATGTCTTTATCTTGGCGGTGATTTTAATATAGACATGCTAACCTCCTCTAAACATCAGCTTGATTTACTGTCACTGTATCAGTCATATGGATTGTCTAATGTTATTTCACTGCCTACTCGTATAGCGCCTCTACATGACACGTTGCTTGATTTATTTTTAACGAACGTTCCCACCACAGAGATACTTGCTGGCGTGATCGGGGTAACGATTAGCGATCACCTGCCGATCTTTATGTTTAGTCGTGTAAATTTCAACAGCAAAAAAATTTATGTTGCTCAGTCTTTTTTTAGAAATATCAGCACAAAAAACTTGCAACATTTTGAAGAACAGATATTTTCTGCGAACTGGAGTGCGGTGTTGTCTAGCGTATCAGCTGACGAAGCATTTGATTACTTTCTCGATAAGTTTATTATGATATACGACCGTTGCTTCCCCTACCAACAGCGAAATATTTCCCGCAAATCACGTAAACCATGGGTTACGTAAGAAATAAGAAAAATGATAAATAAGAAAAATACTCTTTACCATCAATTCGTACGTAGCAGAGACGTTAGCGTGTTGGCTAAATTTAAGGAACAAAGAAATCAGTGTACCAGGGCCTTAAGGCAGTCAAAGCGTTCTTATTTTAACAATTTATTTCAAGGTGTAAACAGATCTGATGTTATATGGAAAAAATTGAACGGTATACTTAAGAATGGGCCGCACAAGGAGATAATCACGAAAATCAAAATTGAAGGCACCGATATAGAGGGGGAAGCTTTAGCTGAGAAATTTAATGAACATTTTGTTAAGCCTGCTCAAAGTGTGTGTTCTATGAGTGCCTCTAAATACATGCTTAGTGTTTCTGACAGCTTATTTCTTACCCCAACCGACGAAGAGGAAGTATTCTCAGCGTTTCAAAACTTAAAAAAAACAGTAAAAGCTTCGATATATATGACATTCAAATAAAACCAATTAAACATGTATTGCGGGCGATTTTACCCTATTTAACGCACATATTCAATTTAGCACTTAAGTATGGTACCTTTCCAAAAAAAATGCAGATAGCAAAGGTGACTGTAATATATAAAACCGGTGATAAGAATGACTTAGGAAATTATCGACCTATTTCGGTTTTACCCATATTTTCCAAGGGATTAGAGAAAATCATACATCAAAGGCTTAATAATTTTTGTGAGAAATTTTCAATCATGACGCCCTGTCAATATGGATTTATGAAAGGTCACTCGACTGAGATTGCACTTTTAAAACAAAAAGAACTACTTTTAGGCAACATCGAAGCGAAGCTGATAACACTCGGCATATTCATTGATTTCACAAAAGCCTTCGACCGCATAAATCATAAAACGCTACTTAAGAAACTGTTCATTTATGGTGTTCGCGGGGTCGCTTTACAAATGATTACTAGTTACCTTCAAAACCGCCATCAGTGTGTTGAAATAAATAAGAAACGATCAAATTTCAGACCACTAACCGCCGGTGTACCACAGGGCAGTATATTGGGGCCACTCCTCTTCAACTTGTATATTAATGACCTAGTAAATATTAATGGTAATGTGAACTGCATTATTTATGCGGACGATACGAGTATATTTTTTTCCGGCGTTAACATAGATACAATTATAAGCAATGCGAACCATTATCTTTATCAATTAAATGCTTGGGCACTATCGAATTCCCTGCAAATAAATGTAAGTAAAACAAAGGCCGTGGTATTTAGATCTCGGAATACAAATTGTAGTCCTAGGTCTGTACTTTTGCTTGGTACAGGCACTATTGATATAGTTGAGAGTGTAAAAGTCCTGGGGGTAATCTTTAATCAGTACATGACTTGGAACGATATGGTGCAATACACATGTAAAAAGCTATCGAAGGCTGTGGGTATAATATACAGATATCGCCATATGATTCCTAGTTCGGCCATGATACTCGTTTACAACTCTATTTTTTACGCTCAATATAACTATTGCTTTTTGGTATGGGGAAATACGACCTTGACTAATATAAATCAAATGCATATTCTTCAGAAGAGAGTGATTCGTACGATATGTCATAGTAGCTAGGACAGTCATACGAAACCATTGTTTAAAAAATTTAATATTGTGCAAATTACAAGTCACTATAGTTACAAATTAGCCCTTGCCTATAAAAAGTCGTTTTGTACCAACCGTTTACTTTTATCGATCTCAAATCTTCAGTTCAGGGAAACGCTCTACAACACTCGTTCTGAAGATGCGTGGGCAGTACCGCACTCCAGGACCAATTACGGCGATCAAATGCTGAGATATGCACTACCGCGCCTTTTAAATTGTTCCTGTGAATTGGATATAAATATTTTAAGTGGAACTCGGAAGGACGTGCTTTCTGTATTTGTTAATGATTTTCTTAAACACGTTCTGGAATAGTTAAAGTATGAATCGATTGTGCGATTTACCTCACTTTTTTTCTTTTTTTTTTTAATGGTGTAGAGATTGTGAATTTGTAGGAGTTTGTGTACGTGTATATATTTTTTCTCTCTCTGCTGCGGTAGGGAGGGGATTTAGCTCACTTATTTTCGTTTTATTGGTGTAGAGATTGTCAATTTGTATGAGTTTGTGTACGTGTACATATTTTTTTTTTCTGCTGCTGTAGGGAGGGGGGCAGAGGCTCGTCAAGCAACACTGAGTTGCTTTTTTCTCTGCCTCCCCTCTCCAAACGGAGAGAAAATAAAGACTTTTGCTTGGTACAGGCACTATTGATATAGTTGAGAGTGTAAATGTCCTGGGGGTAACAAAGAGGGGAGCTCCTTCTAGAGAAGAGGGGGAGAAGGAGCTCCCCTCTTATCAGGACCCTCCTTTGTGCCTTCCGGATTTGCACAGGCGTCGCTATTCTCCTCCCAGAAGATTATAGAAGATTAACCCGTCACTCAAAATTCTTACAAAAGCAGCTTCCCTCTCCTCCTTTTACTTGGTGTGCAAATGTGTGCGATGTGACGTCAATGCAAGGAGCCTATAAGCCCCACGGATTATCGCCGAGGAACAAAATGGCTGCTGGTTTGTCGGCGAGTGGTGTTACAAAGGGTGGCATCACCCTAGCAAAGCGCACATGAAGGCACTCTAGGGGCGACCACCCGAATTCACCAAGAGACTGCTGGCTCCTGAGGGCCAGTACATGCGGCAGAGACGGGCGGCGGGCTCCGGCGGCAGACCGCCCACGTTGGTGACGGAGACTCCCGCCTGTCTGGCGCGCGGCGGGCGGGACAATGGGAACGAGGGTAGAACAAATTGTTGACTTTCTTTCCTCCATCTCTGTCTTTCATATCGCTATCTGGTTCTCTATCTCTCTCTTTCTCTCTTTGTATCTCGCTCTCTTTCTTCATTTTTGCTTTTTCTCTCGATCGTTCATTTCTGCCCATTTAAGCACTAAATTTGTTGTGCACTTTTTTTTTGAGCTTGATTGCTGCTGCGGAAATCCGAGAGTCCAGGATGAGTTTCACCACCAAAAGCTACCTGAAGCGATAGTAAAATACGATGCTTACCTGCTTCTAGAAAAAAAAAGAAAAAAGGCGAGATTTAGATTAAACGGACCTCTAATCAACACCGGAATGTGCAACTCCAAGCATTCCCGAACCGGTGATTCAGCAAACGCTATCGTCTTCTGCATAATCATCTGATCAATCAGGCAGTGCCGAGTCGGTTAGCGGGACATTTCGGGATCTTTAGCCTTCCGTTGCCTAAACTTGTGCTATGAATTCGTCAGATTAGATTACAATTTATAATGATTTAAGAGTAATGGTTTAGACGTTTTCTAGTCCTTCCATCTGGGTATTTAGGTCGATGATTTTAATAATTTCCAGATAATTACATTACTGAAAGTTTGTTTTCTTCTTTACGAGTCTGCCTAAATCACTTGTGCCTCTATGAAGCCAAGTTTTTTTGTTTTTTTTGTCTCACATTCGATGGCCCACGGGAGGCGCGACCATGCGGCAACACAGCCCCGCGGGAGGACACGTGATTGGCTCTAACCGTTCGCATTGGGTAGCAGGAGCCGTAGCTTTTGTCGTCTGCGAAGTTACATGGAACAGGGAGGGCAGTGGCGTACACAGGGGGGGGGGGGGGGCCGAAGGAGCCGCGCCCCCCCCCCCCCCCGCCCCCTTCCAAAATTTCCGAGGGGGGGGGGAGGGGTGGGGGAGTCGGCGAGGTTACTGACTCTCGGGTTTATCAATATCAAACTTCGTGGAGAAGTTGTAAAAAAAAAAAGGAAATAAAAAAGGAAGGGAATGCAATATGCCATTTATGACATATTGCCGATCGAATAGTGTTCGGGTAGCTGACAGTTATTCCAAAGAGTTTTTTTCAATATCAGGCGTGCCCCAGGGTTCAATTTTGGGTCCTTGCTGTTTTCAATTTTTATAAATTATATAGCGTCATGTGTAAAGAACGTTGAACTGCTTTTATTTGCTGACGACATCAAGTTGTTCAAGAATGTTCACTGTCCTTTATATTGTGATCTGATACAACATGATGTGTCTAATATAGCACAGTGGTGTAAACAAAATCAGTTATTTCTTAATCATTTAAAAACAAAAGTGATATCTTTGTGCAGACGCCGTGCGATCTTAAATAACACTTATCATCTTGAGAGAAATCCGATTGAACGAGTGTCAATTGTAAGGGATCTTGGTGTGTTCATTGACTGCGGATTAACTTTTAAATATCATGTCTCTTTTGTTGTCAGCTCTGCAATGAAAGTTCTAGGAGTTATATCGCGTTTGACCAAGCATTTTAAAAAGCCCCATTGTTCAATACATCTTTCTCATTCCTTAGTGGTTTCAAGGCTTGAGTTTGCTTCTGTGATTTGGAATTCAATTTCTGTAACACAGGCTTTGATCATAGAACGTGTGCAAAAAAGATTTTTTCGAATTGTTTATGATAGATGGATTGGACGACGCGTGTATTAAGACTATGAATGCTTACTGAATAGATATTCGCTGAAGCGTTTATCACACAGAAGAACAGTCCTTGACTTGGTGTTCCTGCATAAGATCATTAATGGTGCCATTGATTCTTCATGGCTTATTAGTAAAATCCATTTCCATGTTCCTTTCCGTGCGACGAGACAGCTCACTTGTTTTGATATTTGCTCACCATGCCGTGTGTCACCTCTTTCTCGTTTACAGACATTATATAACAGCATTGTGCCACCTCAAGTTGACATCGCCACACCCCTGCCTACATTTCTCTGTCAGTTGGACGAACTTTTGGTCACTTCATAGCGCGTCAGTGTATATGCATATCTATTTCTTTTTAATGAGTAGAATTTTTGTTTAAGAGTTTTTATTGTACGAGTTGGCGTACCTAAGAGAAGGCCGCTCGGCCGTTTTAGGGCACCCGAAAAATAAAGATTATTATTATTATTATTATTATGACATAGTAAAAATAATAAAAAAATGGGTAGTTTTAACGTCTTTTATCTAATATGACTGGAAAATAATCAATTAACGAATATCTTTCTTTACTTCTACTTTTATTGTTTCTTATCTTTCTTTACTTCTACTTTTATTGTTTCGCGAGTGCCCCATGTCCCTCTCGCGGAGCTGCAAGGGCTGGTTTGTCGTCGCCACGGAGCGGCCCGCTCTGGGTGCGTACCATGCGCTGTGCCTCGCTCGAGCACAGCGGGACCCCTCGATGTTTTGTAGCCTTTTTTTCAGTTTGAGAAGAAGCGTCGGTACTGCTCTTGCACCCCGACGAGGGTTTTTTCCCTGAAGCGGTGTCCGGCTGACGGTTGACAGTTAGGGCGAAGGTTTTTAGGAGTTTTCGGGGGTCTATGCACGTGTCCTTTCTTAATTGGATCCTGTATTGTATGTGTTTGTTTTGTACTGCGTTGCTTCCATTCGTCTAAAAAGAGCGATATCTGATTGGCTCCTCGGATGGCGGGAAAAGTCTTAGAAAAGCGAATGTAGGCGCCTAAAGGCGCGGGATTTGCGGTTCAAGGTTCAAATACGGAAGTTGTCATCAGCAGTTTGAGAACCGCGCGAGATAGGAGCGCGAGTGTGCGACCTGTTGCTTCAGGACGAGAGCCAAGTGCAATATGTGAGTGTGTAAACCATTTTACATCGTCCCTTTGTTGCTTTGTGTGACTTCCTTGACTTTCTTTTGTGAGCGGACTTCGGAAACCTTAGAAATCGACACCAACGAACAAATCACGTGAGATTTTTGTTGGTTAGATCAGGTCAAGATAGGGAGTACTTTGTGGTGGAGCAGCTTTCCAGTGCTTATCGTCTATCCATCAAGATGTTCCGCGTTTCTACTTATGCATCATTGTTTTATCAGCACCGATGACTGGAGGCTTTGTGCATTGGAGTCGTGCTTCATAAAATATTTGTTTTTATGATTCTCGTTTTCTGCTTACAATGGTTCCTTCTCTCAACGTGACTTGTAAATAAAAAAAGTAAAATGCAAATGCCTTCCTGGTGGGGAATTTCCGGGGCATCATTTTTATGTATCATAATCATCCCAAAACCAATATGACAACTTTATTTTAATTACTTAATAGAATAATGCCTAGTTATTAGAAAAAAAAATGAACATGCTTTTATTTTCTCTTGAAGTTTCTTTTCTTTTCATCTTGTCCCCTTTTACTCTCGTTGGTCCGGCCCCCCGCGAAATGAAATCCTGCGTACGCCACTGAGGGAGGAGATACGGTTAACAACTTGGTTTTTATAAAGATCTACGTTTCCCCAATTTCGCGATGTGGAAATAATTTTGAAAGATTTGTCCCGCAAATATTAGACTTCTTTCTAAAATCGCTGCATGCAGCGCTGGCAACACTGCGTGAGTGTTGCATGTTGGGAACTAGTCAGCCAGGAGCGGACGAAGTGGCAGACCGCAATGCTTTGGTTTGGAAATTGGATCAACACATCGACGCGTGCGGCGCTGACGGCGAACCGTGTCCCGGAACCGATCGACATCTTGATTTCACAAGGGTATCAGCGCTTTTAGCGCTTGTACGCGTACATGGCAACAATGTACACTTGTGCCAAAATGCTTCCCTCTGACGAAATTATCTTGCAAGCTGCAGCGGAGAGTTTCTGTAAAATTTAGGCTGACACTGGTAGCGGCCGTTTTCGATCTCCCAAGCAGTGTGCAAACAGCCGTGAATGACAGGATGTTGCTCACACAATCGCATTTTCTGTTGCATTGCAAACCTCTATTTAAACGTCGTAGTGCAAGCACTTAATAGAGAGTTTCAGATCGTCTTCAGAGGCCCCCTATCGCTCCGGACGCGCACTTCAGAGCATACTTCGAAGTGGGCAGCGCGAGCTCCCGCTTCAGATAGCGTTGACTGAAAGCACGATCTACTAAAACTTCCTACTATGCATTGCGAATTTATACTTCGTGTCATTCTTACGTGGATAAGCGCGGGGGATCGGTGGCCGAGTGGGCTGAAGCGCACACCCAGCTCGACGCGCGTGGAGCGAAAGCTCGCGCTGCAGAACCCAGGGATCCTGGGTTCGAGCCCCACCCCTGCCCGTTTCGATCTGGATGAGCATCGTACCGGCGTGCGGTCGTGTACCACTACTGCGTGGTGCACGTTAAAGACCCCAGGCTAGCGGTTGTACTGCACTGGCTGAATTGCTCATCTACAGCTGGGAGACTCGTCGCCCCTGTGAGGCAGACCAAGTTCTATGCTGTATAAACATACACACAACCCAATTTTTTTTGTGGATAAGCGCGAACGCTATGAGCGCGAGCTCCTCGAGTTGAACGACGGCTCGGCTGCACGAGCGCTCGAGCAGCTGGGCCAGCTGCCAATGCTATCCACTTGCGCTTGCGGCATTTGCGCTTAGGCCATGTTAAAATAGTGAGTTTTAGTGGATCGTTTTCAGAGGCCCGCTATAGCTCCGGGCGCGCGTTTCGGAGCATGCTTCGAGCTGGCAGCAGCTCCCGCGAGAGCGAGAGCTCCTACACATGGGGTTGCCTGAAAGCAGGATCTGCTAAAACTCTCCAGTGACACAAAGTAGAGATATGCTGTACTATTCTCTATTTCACCTTATGATGTACCGCAGGAAAGGCTACAAGCGCGATCTCCTTGCTCTAGGACACGCCTCGGTGGCACAAGCTCTCGTGCATTTAGGGCAGCTGCCAACGCTATGAGCTTGCGCTTCGAGCCTTCGCTGCCTTTACTTCAGCATCAATACAGATGTGGCTCAAGCTCTGCTCGTTTCCGGGGGCCTCCGCAGGACGCTTTCGCTTCGTGGCGCTGCTAGGCAAAGCGGGGTAGGGTGCCTACATGTCTGTCTGTCTCTGGGTGAAGACATCCATTGTTGCCCTCAATGTGCCAGCGCGTGACGCTCTGGGGCGGTAAGATGGCGTCTATGTATTAGCCAAAGCTAAGCGCTCGAGCTGAGTGACACCGGATTGCGCACACTTCAAAATGCATAAACAAACGATTGGGCGGAAAAAAGGCTGATATGTCACCACTCAAGCAAAAGCGCGTGAAGGCACTCTAAAGCGGGGTAGACAGATAATAATAATAATAATATTAATAATAATAATACTAATCTTTATTTGGCTTTTTCTTAGAATGGATAGAATTCAGCGTGCCGCTGTATTCTATCTATTCTATCGTGGCGCTGCTAGGCAAAGCGGGGTAGATAGCTGCGCGCTGTATTTTATGTAGCAGCGACGGAGCGGCGGATTCCTACAGAAGATCCCCTCTTTCCCTACGCGGCGACGGCGCGTTTGGCACACCTCCCCTCCTAGTACACCATTGTATACAGACGCGATCGGAAAGTAATAAAAATAAAGTTTTAAAATAAAATAAAAAACGCTATTTGTGCGCGGATTGCAGTTGTACGAGTCCAGTTCACTGTAGGCTGCATGATTTCAATAGTCTGGAGTGGGCGGCTTATAGTGACTTACGACCCGTTCAAAAGTAGCAGACCTAGAAATAAATTGAAAAAAAGAAATAAAAGGACCCAGGCGGTGCTAAGCGGCCGTCTGCGATGTTTAGATGGCATCACGAAGTCGGGATTCTCAGCGTATTGGCACAACACACAATAAGCATGTACAGTCCAGCTTTCCTTTTACTTTTCGATGTCCGGCATGTATCGAGTCTACGCGACGACACCAACGAGTCCACACGGCACACGGCCACACCGCCCCGCATGTCCAACGATCGGAACCTAAACTCCATGACCAACTAGTTCCCTGCATGCATTCCGTGGGCTTCGTTGCGATGAGGCGCTTCGTGTTTGGGAGAAGTCTATTCACCCCCATGGGTAACGACTACACCACAATCATTAAAATTTATGCCGGCGAAATAATTCCAAATGTGGTTGATTTCCGAGTCGCACGTGGTGCACTGCGATCTCAACACAGCACGTCGCAGTTCGTTTAATCGCAAGCTATCGCTCGTAAATAACTAAATAAAATAGATTTGCATAGCTTTCCTAACCCTTCATACCGGGCCCACCGAAGCCCAGTTACAAAGATTTTCCAAAATTCTCCCTTCCCCGCCCCCTTCCCCCCCCCCCCCCTCCCCCCTCTACCAAACGAAAATCCCGGGTGCGCCAATGCATATACTAGTATAAAGACCGACGACCAGCTCGCACTTTCCACTTCTATCGCGCTTCCTCCTCTTTCCAACTCAACCCTGTCCACCGTTCCCTGTTTCCTCCTTCCCCATGATGAGGAGGATCTTCCGCCTTGCAGAATCTCGATTCATTGCAACTTTGAATATTTCAATACCTGGAAACGAGAATTGAAATATTCAAATTTCGTTCGGAAATGAGTCAAGCATGACGGATAATAACCGTCAATGATAATCGCACGTTTGCACCTTGAACGACTGGCTATATTTTTCTTTCCAAACGCTCCACTCGAGCAAGCGCTCGAAGGGAAGTGAACGGAGAGCGCTATGCGTCATGGGATATTCGGCGCAAACAAAAACAGAAAGAAAAGATTCCCCGCATTCGTGACGTAGCAATGCTGGTGTGGTTATGAGCTTTGCCGTTGGTGGCGTTGTCAGCGTTGTGGCGGTGTCAATAGCGTCAACGCGTTACAACTGAGCCGTTCGAAGTACCCGTGGGGTGACGAGCGTGTGGCTGAATTAAGGAGAACGTATCTTCCACAACACTGCAGCTTAGGACTGAACGGGGTGGGAAAAGTAACTTTTGTCGGAGTTAAATTTGAGTGACGGGCTAATTTAATAGGGGGGGGGGGGGGGGGGGAATGACTGTGGCCGGGTACACAAACGAGGGTCCGAGAAAGGGGGGAGTCCCTGCTTTCCGTCTTCTTGGACTGTTTGGTACAATGAGCGATTTGTGAGTTTAGGAGGAAAGCTAAGAAGGAAAACTTTGAAATTCCAAAGAGCGGCGCTGCTCCGATGGAACTTGCTACGCCATGACTACGTAAGAAGTTCCCCAACGTTGCTAGATTACCTCCCAAATAGGCTCCACGTGCATCCACCCGGTGCGCATTGAAAGATCGTTTAATTAGCTTTAAAATTAGTTCCCTCCGACTTCCGAATGCGTTTGACTGGCTGTGTGCATGTTACATCGCGTTTTTTTTTCCGTTTTTTCTTTTGCTTTTTTAAGCCCATAGGTCTTATCTATGATCTTATCTTAGTGTCATGTAGAGTTTTGTGCTCACCCGAAAAATCTAAAAATAATTGCTTCACTTCCTTCTTCGCTCTCACAACTTTCAGGTACTCTAATTTACACCACGAACATAGTATTATTTATTGGGCTGGGCAATTGATCTAACCTTTCAATTAATCAAATAACGCTTTAATCGCGGTTAATCTTTTTAATCTGTTAATCGGTCCTGTTCAGGGTAAGGAATTTGGAGCGCAAAGCAATATTGGCTGCTTTACTACGTGGATCGAATTGATGGATTTTAAGTGACATGCATGATGTATTCTATAGTAAAGGACTTTAACAGGCATATGATCGTCTCCCATGTGAGTATACGATTCCAATCAAAATGTAAAAAACAGTTAATATTTTAATATTTTATGCTTGGTTTTGGTATGTTTTGCTTTTGTTGTAAGCGCAGCGTCAAGTTTCAGATTAGGCTGTACATTCCGCCATTGATGGCATAGCAATAATAGTAGAAAATGGTTTTGACACGGTTTTAATACATGTCTAAAGGTCAATGCAACCCATTATTTGAATAAGAAATAAATTAAAGGGTAGCGATTAATCGTGTAAAACATTTTCATCGACGCTTAGCCCTAATCACTTAGTAAGCCAAAGTGTTAACTTTGTTTGAAGCAGCTGCTGTTGTCTAAATTCAAATTCTTCATCTCACAAAAAGGTGGGAGGGATTTCTTTCGGCGTTTGTTTCGAGAGGAAAAAATATATACGAAAATAAAGGTAGAGGTTTCAGGGGTGAGCTAACTCTCAGATTGTTACTGAATGTGAATGGTTGGTTCTATCGACTTGGGGAAATTCCAAAACGTGGCAGCCTCTTCTGAAAAGTGTGTTTCTAACAAACGCCTGGAAAAAACCTGAGGCCACTCGTTATTATGTTTTTAAAGTAAAAACAAATCCTTGCTGTTCATACTGGCAGTAAGCAAAAGTTGATGTCTTTGTTACTGTCTTTGAACCAGATCACGCCGAGGAGCGGAGCCTCATTTTTTCTTGATTAAGATCCACATTATCCAGATTCTTTCCCGGGCGTCTGTTTACAAATACATGGAAGATTTGCTTCGTTTGTTTACACCGTACCACGATCAAGTCCGGTCAAATGTATGCTTTGCGCGCATAGTGCCAGTCCTGGTGTAAGTTTGCGAGCAGCGGCGTCCTGCGAGACTTCGTAAAAAAGAAAATACAAGCAAACGCGACATTGCAAATGGAAGAACAACCAATTTATTTACACTTTTATCTACAAAGGCTGAAATGCAACCTTGACTCCTATAGACAACGCTTTTCGTCAATAACAGAAATGTGCCACCCACTGCGGGAGCACACTCAAGGGAAACGCTTACTAATTGTTGCCAGTGAACTTTGCAAGGAAAAATATCCCACTGCAATGCGGTGACAAACGACACAGCAAGTAAGAAAGGGACAAGGGAAGGCGACACGTCCAATGCAAACTTTGGCTAACTGAGCCATTTTTAAAGTGAAAAACATGAGATACATCACTCTTTGGCACATCTGAAATCAGTGTTGCTATAAGGAATGGCGAAGTGACCCCATCCCAGAGTTTTGTGGCGGAAGGTCGCGACGTGACAGTTGATAATTTTTATTAATAACGATATCACACTCTCGCCTTTAATTTTTTTCTTTTTATAATCTAGGAATGTAATTTTCCAGATATTCGAATACATTGATTGATTCATATGCATCTGTGAATTTCTCTCATACATGTTTATATATATGACAGCCAGATGTAAAACAAGACTCCAATAATTTGAGCATCGCCTTTGCATGCTACAGGGTAACAAAATTGCTGCGCACCAAAGGAAGTTTCATCTAAACATTTACTTATCCACAGGTAAGTAAAGACTTATTCACAAAAACAACAAAAATCCCAAACCAAGCTTGCGCATCTTCTCTTTCCTAAGCCTCACACACCCACCTTTCCTGTTGAAGCATTCGTAAACTAGGGATCACTGGAGACGCACACATGTATACCTTGATGAAAAGGTCGATCTTTTTGCTTCGTATTCAACTGAAATACCTAGTGAATGAGGCATTTTTGGAGATTTTATTTAATTGATTCCTTTCATTTGCTCATGATGCTACTGATTTAGAAGACGTAACTATAGATTTACACAAATGCGAGTCCTGAGCAAAATTAAAACAACGATTATCGTTTATAATGCAAACAAATGACCTACATCACAATGGTTCTAAGATATTTATTTCGTTATCTTCATTGACGGAATAACTAATTAATTAATCCTTCCTCAAATTTTGCGGGCGCTCGTAATGGGGATGTATATTTGGTTGATTTCTACAAATCTCGCTTATTTAAGTTCATGTCTAAATAAAGTATGTGCCACAGTTAGCGCGAAAACGACGACATTTTAATTCCGCGCGTTTGTATCAAACATCATATTTTACTTGAACAGATGAGCGTGTTGGTAACATAGACCGGCAACAGAAAAAATAAAACAAACTCGAGACGAGGGACGAGTTTGTTTTATTTTTTCTGTTGCCAGTCATATTTTACTACCTGCAGTTTCTTCCCGGATGAGCGCATTTCACTGCACCGGTAGTCTTGTAAAAGACCGCCGAACCCTATATGAATAAAAAAACCGGGCTTTGTTTTTCCTAACCGTCTGGCGCTCTGTACCTTTTCCTAACTACGTCTCTAGTACGCACTTTTGCCAAGACGTTGCCACATCCATCGCTGTGCATACACACTCAGGGTTTCAGCGCAAAGCATTGAAACTCCAGACGCCTTCAAACTAGTTGAGTCTTCCAAGATGGCGACATAGCTTCCAAAAACTCAAGAGACAATCGCTAATTTGAACAAGTTTCACCTAAGGCAGTTCGACACCTTCTCCACAGCTTCAACGAGACAGTTTGCACAAAGTCTGGCATCACGAGTCTTGCTACTGTTTTCACAACCAAGTCATTGACCTTGAATATAAAAATAAATGTATTGCACACAACTTGTTCAGCAAGAACGATGGGCACAATTCGCTATTTCGCAAGCGATGACTCTACGACGACGTGCAGAAAAATGGTTCATTCAGACGACGGACCCCGGTGACTTGTCCGCTGATGCACACACAATCACGCACGTGCCGCGGTCGAGGCGTACGGCCGACGTTGGGCCGCCGATGCGACGCTCAGTTGACGTAGATTCCCACCCAGTCGACGTACTCGGAAATTCTGGTGTACACCCCCGGAAGAGACGGCAGGGCGCACTGGACACCCCAGGATACCAGGCCTATGAGAACCATTCGGTCGTCCTTCTTTATGGTCAGAGGTCCTCCGGAGTCTCCCTGCTCAAAATAAGCGTGGTTATGTGAAAAAATGTTGCATCAAACGGCAATAGGTAGATATAGCATTGAAATTACAAACTATTGTATAATAAAGTTTATATATCTATGCATCATATGGTCAATGGAAATGAAATCGACCACAACTAGTGTACCTTGCCCAAGCTTTCCATAGTTTTTCACTAGCTAGAGTGTCACATAAAGCTTAGTCCCTAATGTCTCGAGCACCAGAGATCATGATTCGGTGAACGCCCTAATGGAATCACACAGAGAGCTGAAATACCACGGCGGGCATCACCGTCGAGCTGGACGTGAAGTATACCCAAGAAACCCTTTGCGGTTTCTAACCCATCAGCATTAAACATCTCACAGTTGACAGAGTTGAAATTCATTAATTTGAGATAACATTCGGGAATCACATTGCCTTTCATAAATTGTTATTTACGGAACAGAATCTAGAAAAAATCACAATAGCATATTTTAACTTTCTTTTCTTCCTGTGAGCATTTTAATCGTACACTTTCTGCTTCGTTCACGGGAATTGAGATTTATTGAGAAGCGGTTGGTACCTGGCAGGAATCTCGGCCACCATCCTTGTAACCGGCGCAGAGCATGGTGTCGTAGATCTGTTCCCTGCGGCCCTTGTCCTTGAACCATGTCTTGCACTTCTCATTTTCTAGAACCTCCACGCTTACTTTTTGTAGAATGTTCGGGATGTAGGATTGACCTGCATATCGTAGTTAAATGTTACGACTCTGATTGGGTCATGATTTCAACGACATTCTTCGTTTATTTTGCATTGACCTGTCATAAGACCCTAGAAACTCACGAAGCCATCGCTTGTCCTTCTTTTTGTTTTTCATTCTGACTTGTTATGAGCAAGGGAGGGAAATGCCAGGCGTACAAAGAAAAAAAAATAGACTACGGAGAAGAGAATGAAAGTAGATGTAAATTGTCGCCCGTATTAGCTGAAAGAAGACATAATGACTTAAGGAGCTTAGTTTATGTTACTTAAGAGGCAAAAACGACAATGCAGTAAATATAACTAAACTAATTGTAAAGGCCGGTAAACTCATCAATTAATCACCTCATGCTTGCATCTCCTATATTCTACGTTCTTGGCATTCTGCTATTCATCTCTAACGGCGCACTGATTTAGAGGAGCGCTCCAACCTCGTTCGTGTAACATTAATCTTTGTAAAGCGAAGCAGCGTTGACATCGACATCATCATTTTATGTTTTGCCGTACGGACACGTAGTTTTGCCAACGACGTGAGCGTGAAACCCCCACCATGCCTTTTTTGCACACTTGAAAGCATCTACACCAACGAACAGTTTTGACGTCACGGCGCTGCGGTGGCGCTGCTGTCGGAGCGGCTCATGCTTGGACGTTTTACTTCACGCGAGTCTGATTTCTGCTCACGCGCAGAGCACACTCTTAACTTTCTGGTCTGGGCAAAGGGAAGCATGTATGTACGTAAACAGTGTTTTGAAGTAGAAACAAGCTATTGTCTAGATCAGGCGTCTCTGAACTATTTGGTTCATGGGCCGGATTTGGGATCTGACGCAGTCTCGAGGGCCCGAAAATAAATAAGTAAATAAAAATCAAGTAAAGCTAAATAAATCAACCTAGATAAGGATTTAAGTACAAACATTCTGGTTCGAGTAAACAAAAATGTGAGGTTTTTATTTTGAACTTATGTATTTAGTTATGATATACAATATCTTTAAATCAGGAAATTCACCGGGCAATCAAAGTTTAGTATATTCACACAGGGCAGAATACTAATGAGAATAGTAGAACTGGTGATGACACTACGCAATAGTTATGACACAGGACACTAAACGTGTACACATAAGAACTCAAAGGAATTTTAACATAGCTACACAGACATGCGACAGGTGGCTAAAAATAGTGGTGCTGGTGATAACAACCTGCAATATACGTATATACATGACACAGTACTATCAGCTAGCAATCAGAACGGATACGATCGGTTTGCTGCACGTCGCGGCGCCCTTTCTTTACGCGCGCTTATTTGCGCGCCAGCAGCAGGCGGAATGCTAGAAGGGGACATCGGGCCGAGCGTCATTGGAAAGACTGCGGGCAGCTGCGGGCCGGTCAGAAGGACTTCGCGGGCCGGACCTGGCCCGCGGGCTGGGGTTTAGAGTCCCCTGGTATAGACCAGGGCTGGAAAACAAAGTTTAGGTTCCAGTCCTTGAATCTATGTGACAAGCCAGGAGGAAATGCAGCATCTGGGATTGTGGGGACGGTAGTCGTAGCAAAAAGGTTAGATGGAGAGTTGTACGTCGCTCCCATTGTGTGAGGATGTACCATATTTGAGCCTGCCCCAGCCCGAGACGGTGGCGAATCCTCCGGTGAAGTTGTCCCCCTTGGAAGGCAGGCAAATGGGGATGATGTGTTCCCTGAAGACGACCGGGTGCGAGAGCTCCAGGAGTGCAATGTCGTTCTTGAAGTTTCTCCGGTCGAAGCCCTCGTTGACGATTTTGCGGCGCACCGTGTACTCCTCGTGCGGGTAGCGTTCCGTTGTGTCTCGGATGCTGTGCTCGCCCAGCCGCACCCGCAGGTTCGAGGCCGGAGTCCTGCGGAAGGGAAGACGATAGACCTCAAGGTTTTGGGGTTGTGCGACGACAGTTATGATGAACTAGGGAGAAAGATGATGAGAAAAGAGAAGCCGCCTCGGTGGCTCCGAGGCGAGAGCGCTGGACTACGGATCCCCATGTGGTGGGTTCGAATCCCGGCCGAGGTGCCCGCAATCTGACGGAGGCTTATTGCGGAGGAGGCGCCGTGTAACCGAGCTTTCGGTTGCACGTCAAAAGATCCCCATGTTGTCCAAATTAATCCTCAGTCCTCCGCTGGGGCGTGCCAGATGCACGTCGTTGGTTTGGCACGTAAAACCCCCAAATTTGACTTTTTGATGAGGAAGGAGAAGAAGAGCAAGAGTCTCAAACACCGCTAAAATTATTTGACAAAAAATGTCAATAAATTTTAGCTGTGTTTGAGACTCTTGTTCTTCCTCTCCTTCATCGTCGTTTTTCTCCCTAGTCTCAGGGTCATAGTTCATCAAGTTTAAACATCACCAGCTCGTTTGCGCCCTAACATTCTGGTCAACGACAAGTAGTCGTCCTTGTAACAAGTTAAACACCTGAGACGTATGAACAGAAAAGTTAACCAATGTCCGTTGTCCACGTTGTTGTTCCAAAGTCTCAGGTGTTCAAGATGCTCTAAGTTCACCAGCTCGCCTGCATGACCTCCGTTATGTCATCAATGTAGTTTCTTTTTTATCGCAGGCGCCAGCGTTATAATGATCGGCTTTCAGTGTCCAATACATTACTTGCATGCAGTAACATCACACCAACAGCCATTGTAATGGCCTTACTGTCGAGTGCGTACCTTTTGTAGCGTAGGTTTTCAGATCTAATTTGATTTCTTGGTAAGAGCAAGTATATTACCAGTTATGTGGAGTGTGGATACGTGTTATTTTCTTGATCATTGTTTTCTACAGGTCACGTAGCGGTACTCTCGCGCTCAAAAATAAGAACCAGTGCACGCATCCTTGCAAATATACGTATGGGTCTCAATAAGCTAAGAGCGCAGGTTCTTAGCTCTGAAGTCTGTTTTTACTTCACGCTGACGCGAAAGTTGGCCGATTTGAACATAGTACATATATTCTTTTTTTTTTCTCAAGGTAAAACGTAGATTAGTGTTCTCTATTCATTGAAGTGCGCGTGACGGTAGAATCTTGCGGGCGTGTCTCCATGTCGAAGTGCCATGGGCAATAAATATGAATTCTTCGTGACGTATGGCGTAAACTAATTTTCCTCTTTGGTGGGGACCTTGCTTCATGATGTTCATAAAATAATATTGGTAATGTAACGATGAAATACAATGTACTCTTCGCAATATGACAACTTTATTTTAGAACGGTAACTGGTGTGCGTTGTCCCGGCAAAAAAAAAAATCTAATTTACGAGCGCAAAACCCTACTTTACGCAAGAGGCACTGCTCCCTCTCTCCCTGTCGTTCCTCACACACGGCAAGGCCCTCTCTCGCTCACCCCTCTCATTCCCCCTGTCGAAAGCCGCTGTTCTTGCTCCGGGCGACGCTCTCCCTTTCCCTCCCCCCCCCCCCCCCTTTCCAGCAGCCGCCGTTGCGAAATACCGACGTGGTCGCGCAGTGCGGACACGCTCCCTCGCCTCCCCACTGCCGCCGCCCAGGTTCCGAACCTCTACAGAACAGCTCACGGGCGCCTCGATTGTGAAAGAGCGTTTCGGCCAAAAATAGCACGTCTCTGTGTCCTTCTCCAACATATGCGACGACTGGCACGATCGTTACACCAAAACACACACCTCCTAACACAGGCATCCTACATCAATTCCAATGAAAGCGAAGAGCCTATTGCAAACATTGTACAGCACACTGCAGCTGAAGACAAATCTTCTTCAGTACATCTCTCCACAACGCAGCCGCTACCACTACCAATCGCACAACAGCTTGTGTGGTCGCTTTTTTGTTTTCGTTGTAAATTTATTACCTAATCCAAGGTGTTGGTGTCGCACCCTGAGGCAGATTTGGCAGCGATAAAGTTGCGAAATAGTTAAGCTACTGTGAAGCACGCCAACCTAATCAAAATACGTCTTGCATGGAAGTGGCACCGTAATTGTAGCTTTTATACTGAGCGTTTCTGATCTGTCAGTAGGTGTTTGCACTGCCTCGTTCACAAAGAGCCACATAGTGCGATAAATCCTATGATATTTTATTATTACAAAGCCGTTGATAGTGCTGCGATAGTCAATAAGAAAATGCAGAAAACCCGGATCGTCATCAGCTTCGTTTAACTGGATTAAAATTGTGTTAAAGCTGTCTTCTTTTAATTTTTTTTTGCAGTTCGATGGCCTACATTGGTCAGTAGTTACACATGAATAAACAGCGATAAGTCTTAGATTATGACAATTTTTTTAATAATTTTTTTGTAGATAAAATATCCTGTTCTGATGCCACAGTCTGAAAAATAGCTGCATATTGCGCACATGCAGCACTTCACTCCCCCTCTCCATAACGAATGCAACCGGAGTGCGAACGAGCAATATCCCTAGTCCCTACAGTGGACTTATCCACGAGGGCGAAACGTCGCCCACATCAATCGCCCTGCACGTATAAAGTCGTCCAGCCCTCTTGCCAGTAAGATCTCGTGAAATGGGCCGCGCTTGTATCGCAAGGCTGCGTGTATGCAGCACTTTCTGAGACTGCATTCTTTTAAACTGAGACACGGAAGTAGAAAATAAGGAAAGGTAAGTAAATACCAATGTGTTAACAAGGATTGCTCTTCGGCGCAGGCCCTAGCAGCTCACTTCCCCGGCTCATACCTGTGCCAGTTTGGCGCAACTTAAGCTTGGGCCAGGATTGAGCCAAGTTGGCTAGCGCGCGCCAACCAGGCCCTAGCCTGGGCCGAGTAAGTGTGCTACATGGGGGGAGATCGGTAGCCGAGTATGTTAATGCACCGGAGCTCGGAGCACTTAAAGCGAAAGCTCGCGCTTCAGAACCCAGGAATCCTGACCGGTTCAATTCTTATTCTTGCCCGTTTCGGTCTGGACGAGCATCGTATTGGCATGCGGTAGTGTATCATTTCTGCGTGATACACATGAAAGACCGTCTTCACATGCGCAGCTCAGCGCGAGTGTTCGCAGACCCTCACCTGTCGACGCAGTGAGCAGCTGTGAGTATCCAGCGTTCGTGGACGAGCGCTCCTCCGCAGGATATCTTCTGGGAAAGAAAACTCCGCTTGACCACCGCAGCCTGTTCCCAAAGAAAGACATTACTCAAAGTGACAGAGACGGCTGGAGGATATCGTTAGCGTCTCTTGGTTCGTTTTTATTTGCTACAAGAAAGCACCGAATATAAACATCACGAATGTGAAGTAGAAAACGGCAAACTTGAACACAACATATTTTGGTTTTTATCTGCTTTCTTCTCTGCAGTTGCGCTTGCATGAACTGTTAATAAGTAAACTAACGGAAACATTGTTAACCATTTGACATAGGAGGTACACTACGCGACAAGGTTAGCATAGATGAAAGAATGATTTTTTTTTTTCATTTTACTCCACCATTGTAGCACTGAACATCAAATGTTATTACGCTGCACGGTGTCCGTCGACTAAATGCTTTTTTTTTTCGCAATTATTCATCTGTGAGATTCAGTGATCGCGCTAATTGTGCCCCACTGTACATATCCCACGATTCGCTCAGGATGGTACTCTTACGCAGCTCACAGATAGAATCGGTCATTGAATTGCTAAATCTATGATAATTGTACGTACTTCAGTAAACACTCAGCAAGCACTGCCCCTCTCATGGTGTTAATGTGTCCTCGCGCGTCGCATACGTGATTGCATCTAATGTTCTTTGGTGAGCGAGAATTGTGGAAATCATCGAGATTCGAATCATGCAATACATTGCGATGCATGTGTATTACAAAAAAACTTCACAAAGAAGCATCCTCATTCATATTTGAAGGGGAAACATTTTGTGACGTGCGAGGCATTGTAATGCCCGGAGATGAATGCGTGGGATTTGTGTAATAACCGCTTTATTGATCTAGATGCTAGTCGCTATATAATTTCTACTCATTTTGTGCCATAAAATTATTTAAGAAACTAGTATATAACTGTGGTAAACCAGATAAATGGCGCCTTGGAAAATGACAGAAACAAACTGCAATGACACTTCAGCGCCATTTTTATTTTCTAGGGGTGAATATATGATGGGAATATACACGTGATGCAACTCTGTTGGAGAGCAGAAGAAAAGAAAGGTAAAACTTCAGACGTGGAGCAAGGGAAGTGAAACATGTTTCATCGCTGTAATTTTCTGCGGAGGTCTGTCCTCTATTTCTTTTTAATAATTTCTGTTTTAAATTAATTAAATCATCATAAATCGAAAGGCTCAGTTGGCAGCTACACCTGTAATAAATGCCACGTGTAAAAAAAAAAGTTGTTTATTGCTAGAAACGACAGTTTTTAGCAGTCTTTTTAGCAGTTTTTAGCAGCTTGAAAGCGTTGATCGCTTTCAAGGGCGCGTTTGGCTAAACTAAACATAAATGGGCGTGGTTAGCTGGACTGAATACTGTTTAAATTAAAACTTGATGAAGAATATTAATTTTTTTGCCCTATTTCTTTATTACAAGTTCATATTTTGGCATTACAAAAGTTGAACACGCAGTCCATACCGTACACACATCTAATAGCCTTAGGTGAGAATTAAAAACAAAACAGGTCTGGACAGCTCTGAAGAAGTTGCCTTTATGGCAGTGATGGTGAAATGCCTTCGACAGGTGTTACAAAATCAGGCGTTAGAAATATCACTTTTTTTTTAGAGTAATCTTTTTTCTCTTTTCTTTTTTGTCATGTCAGCTACACCAGTTAAGGCCGAAATTTCAGTAAACCGGCATCAAGGTGCATTCTTTTATTCGTATTTGAACGTCACGGAACTTCTTGGCTTTGTTTTCAAAAGTTCTAATTTTATTCCGCGTGAAACATGAAGGTAAATCAAGGTACGTTTGAACATCAATGTCCACCTACACGAAGAGTAAAATTTGTTAGCAAATAAGTCCGAGTCCCAGAACCCCATTTGAAACAGCAACAGAGTCCATGCTTTTGCTCCTGTATTATGCCCAACTCTTCAGCTAGTACTTGTGGACGCAGGTTAAGATTCTAGGACATAAACGTACCTGCCATGGCTGTTGCCCAAACTTGGCGTTTTCTCCTCCGACCACTTTCGAATTTCGGAGGTAGGTTCTTCCACAGACTGAAACACAAATTATGCAAAAACTAGATTGAGCAAGAAGGAATCTTGCAGACATCACAACGAAACTGCGAAAAGTTGGCTTTCGCGGTGTTGAACAAGGTATGTACGGACATTTTGAGACTGATGAAAGCGCTTTTTTAAATCTCGCTGTTTAGGCTGGTCAGGCAGGGTTAGGGTTTTATAAACGCGCTTTAATAGCAATACTAAAGCTCACTAACAAAGTGCTCTAACTTGTATCCCAGGTGTGGTAGAGATAGTACTGTAGTATTTAAAAAAAGGCTTGGAGTTAAAGGAGCATATTATTCTTAAGGAAGCAATTAAAAAACAATGATTTTACACAAATTTATTCATACGATTTTAATATAACATATTCGGTGCAGTTCAGGATATATTTTGCTTCTAGAATTACAGTTAATACTTTTCTGGATATTCTCGGTAATCGTCAAACCAGATACCATACGCGATAATTTCCTACGAAAATTTACCCCTCGCTCACGCCTGCTGTCGTGACTTCTGCCAGCAGCAGGGAAGAATCATACACGTCGGAACTTAAAACTCATGATTACACTTACTGATGATACCGCTCTCACAGCACGACACCAAACCTGGCAAGTTCCCGTCTGCTACCACTGAGCGCGTATAAGCAGGCAGCCCCCCCCCCCCCCCCCCCCAAAAAAAAAATAAAAAAAAATAAATAAGAAAAAAAATAAAAAAAAATAAAATACATAAAACATGTCATGCAGGGCCATATGTTATCTTGCCAGGTTGTGCTTGCCCGCAGTTCTACACTTGCTGGCGCACACCAAACCCAAATACCGACCATAACTCTAATAGCAATCTTGCATTGGCGTCGGTGTGAGTCCACATGCTCTTTTTCGGGTTGTCATTGCTGATTTTACTCTGCCTAGCAATGTATTACTATTTTAGTTGCCTGAGAGAAATTAACCACGCTGGTTATACCGCAAAACTTCGTGTAAATAATGTGACTTGCGGCGATTCATTCAACGTGAACGCCGCAGAATGGACGCTAAAGCCTGATTCGCATGATGAGATTCTGCTCGCTATTTTCAGTCACGACGTCGCTTGGGCTGAAAAAGCTGCGATTCCCGACATCAACACTGAAAATCGCAAGCAGGATCGGACCAAGTGAATCAGGCATAACAAGTCGATAATGACCACTGGAAACCCCCCCCCCCCCCCCCCCCAATGATCGACATCTCCCTACATCTACTATTTACACGGAGCCTATTTACCCCACATAACCTTCAAACAAGACAAATAAATCTGACGACCACAAGTATCCGTGAATTCATCCCAGAGTGTTTCATGCACAAGAAATCGTAGTTCGACTGTGTCTGGTTTTCCCTCTTCACGGCACCTATCCACGTTCTCGGACGAACCGAGCAAGCAGAAAAGACGGGAAAACTGATCTTTACACTTTCCTGGCTCTTTTGGCACAGCCCCAGTCACGGCGTTTTGACAACAAGTCAAGTTTTATTCTGGTTTCTTTCTAAACAACACAGGAATGCTCGTCCCGCCCATAGCGACTTCCGCCCATACTTCCATATCGGAAGAGCCTCCGAAGTACCCCACCTCTGAGTGACGTAATAGAGTTGAGTTGGTGTATGTGTTTCACTTGCTTCCGTGGTTTGGTCGCTGCGGATACTGACAATAGTATGAAATATTACGAAAATATTTTTTATATAATGTGAGATTTTCCTGAGCTTCCAAAAGTGTGTCCTCATTAGATTTTTCTTCCCGTACCGCAACTGCCGCGTCCCACACCAAAGCCTTCTTCGCTTAATTAGTTTAAAATGCGCAAAGTATATTTTATTTATTTATTTATTGATACTGTCGGCCCTTTACAACGCATTTACAGGAGTGGTATTACATATAAGATGTAAAAGACCAATCATGCACAGACACTTCGGAAAAGTGATTTACCCGGACATAATAACAACTAAAAGAAATGGTTTTGTGTTATTGTATCGACTCCCACGGGTGAGAAGTATTGAGGTACTTGTGTGCATCTTACGAGCGTCCTTGACCATGCCTTCCTTGGAAGGCTCGGCGTTGCGAGGCACGCAGCAGCTCCAGATGACGCCGCCATTGCAGAGGTCCACTGGCCTTTTTCCCTGTATCCAGCAGCTGACTCCCAGACCGCACGAGTAGGCGCTGCCTCGATAGAAGCACTTTTGGGGAAACGCTGCACGAGTGCGAAGTGAAACGTATGAACGTCAAGAGCCTACTTCGCACACCTCCCTACACTTTATAAATTCAATTCGTACACCATCTTTTTTTTTTTTCGTTAACCTTAATGTTATACCATTTTTAATTTTACGTGATATCCGTTCATTGAATGTAGAAAGGTGAGACACGGGTCTCTACTCCTCCTTTTCTTCCTCCTGAATCTTTAAAAAAATTAATACGTGGCTTATGGCACGCACTAATTTATTTATTTTTTTCTAAAAGACACTGAATTTGTTTTTAGGTTATTTATGGGACTTACAATGGATTGATCTCCACCCATACAATTTTGTTTGTTATAACTGTTTGCGTACTTCGCTTAACGTGGAGCTCAGAGACTGTAAACTAATATCTCAGGGGAGTAACCCAGCCTCCGGAGCGTTCGCCCACTCAAACGCAATCGAGAGATATGAGCTCGTGTTGTATGACCTCGTCGCACTAGGAAGACAGACACCAGCCAGCTTTTTAATGACCCAAGCAGTCTTCTATATGCTTTCGTGGACAAACGAAGAAGCTTAACAGCAAAGTTGGTCACTGACAATGTGCATCGGCCTTTCACGGAGCAGTATTTGTTGTTTCTTACTTTTGTGGTACGAAGTACGAAGTACTTCGTCCCACAAAGTAAGGTCAAACCATAACAGACGAAGTATGGTAAAAAGGCAAAACAGAGATTTTAAAAAAATATGTATTTTTTTACCTTGTTCCGCAGTGAACTGCTCTTTATGCTCACAGAAGGTATTAACTTCTGTGGGCGGTACTTTAGAATTTCTCTTTCAAAGTGCGATATTTTATTATGCCGGAAATGTTTTAATACTGCATTTTGACGTAATACTGCGTCTTTCTCCGCGCTTGGAAGGGGTGCAAAGTTGCGAGGCGATATCCCAAAAACTTGAAGACGGAAGTAACGTCTCTCGAAACGTAAAGCAATGACGGCCAGCGAGCTGTCGCGTCAGCCACGGAGGCGCCGTCGACTCCTTTTTCTTTTGCTTCTTCCTGGCAACTATTTTTTTTTTTTTTTTTTTTTTGTGTTCGCACCATTGATGCGGCGGACATGCTATCGCTTCATCCACGGAGGCTTCATCGGCTATTTCCATCTATGTGTGCTTCTTCTTGAAAAAAACTGTATCGTGTGTTTAAAATTGCCCAATAGCGCGCCCTGGGGCTCTCAACTTGTCAAACACAAAGTTGGGGCCGAAGTTCACGGAGCGCACCGATTGGAGTATCACGACGATGACTTCGCGCTTTTGTTGCCAGCGTCCAATCGGCGCTCTCCTCAAACTTTCCGCTCCAACTTTGTGTTTGACGAGTTTAGAGCCATAGGTTTCCTCCGTCGCCTTACTTCTCACGTAATTCCGCACATGCACCTCGGAGATCGCAGCGCCGCGGGGTGCTGATAAATTGCCTCTTTCCGACTCTGAGCCGCAAGCATTACTTTCTTGCGCACACACTATAGTGCCACTAAATAAGCTACGCTTCAGAGTAACGACACATGGTCATATTGTGGCTTGAAATAATGGTTGCCAGTTATCTGAAGCTTTATCTGAAATCACGAGAAACGCTTTTCCGTCCTCCACAAATCTTTAAAGGGGCGGTGCAACGATTTTATGATTGAAACAATTTGCATCTCGTCATTTTTATGTTGTTTGTCGTGTCCCGGAGGATAGAGAAAACACTTCCTTCATTGAAAATGTCGCGATTCCGCTGCATAATCGCAAAGCAAAAGTCGAGCTTTTCCCCCCACCTGTAGCCCCAAGTGGCAGCCGAAGGAACTACGGCGGAAAGATTACGTGACCTCGCTCGGCTCTAAGCTGCAGCATAGCGCCCGCTAATGTACGCAGAGAGAGGGAGGGGAAGCTTCCTCCGATATAGCACACGGGAAGCTACACGGCACTCCGAATGACGTCACTGGGAGTGCGACCAGGTGTGACCCTGAAGACTGGGAGTGAGTTGAGGGGTGCCCGAAATGCCCATCTTTATCTTTTTTTTACGCAAGAACTAGGACACGCAGGCGAAATCGGTTTTCTGTTCTTTACTTCACAAATGTCAGGGGGCAACTTCCAGAAATCTTGGACCGAAGTCCGAAAATCATTGCACCGCCCCTTTAAAATTCGCGACAAAGCAAAGCAATATTACATGAGTTTCCTGACACCAAATCCGATGCTGACGAACTCGCACTTTTGAATGAAGATGGATCGGCAGTTGCGTCTGCTCCCAAAATAGCGGCACCCCCAACAATGTCGGGGAACGGTGTGCCGATACTCTAAGCGCAGCTCATTTAGTGGCTCTAGCACCCACTATCGTCATGCGGCACAAGCCCGTGAGTGTATCTCCAGCTGTCACAAACAACACATCTGGGACAAATGGAGAATGTACGGCCTCTACAATTAAACACAGCCTAGCCAAGACACCGGCGGACTGAAAACGTCTGCGGCTTGGTCACGACATTCCAATCGTGCTCATGGGTGATTTCAATGTAGACACCTCTCTAGAAACCAGAACACCGACTTCGTTGCTTTCATGCACGAGACCTTTGGTCTGCTACTTGTGTCCACCACTGGACTTACGAACCTCGGCGGGTCGTGCATCGACATGGAGATCCACAAACGATTGGACAGCTTGAGATGCACCAAACACATCTGCACCTTCTTGTACCATCGTCCTGTGCTCACTATTTTTTTTCTTTCCATTGCTCTACATATTTATCATATTTCAACACATATACACGATGACTTTATATATCCCCCAAGCCTCTGTTTTCTTTCATTTCTTGTGCCACCCCCATGTAGTTGTACGGAAATTTACGCAGCATAGTACACATATGCACCGACTAATTTTTATCATTCGATGCGTTATAGTGACTCTCTTTTTAGTGGTTCTTAGCAATAAAGGGAAGGGACAAAGGTGATTTCACGCTGCCTAATTTCCGTTCTATACTACGTATTCCGTCTGCACATGATAATTTCCCATTGAGCCTTCCTAATGCTTCCATTTAATAACTTCATTGTCCCTTTTGGAAGGGATCGATGAAGATGTTGCAAACCGGGTTGCGAATGTTTGATCGAGTATAGTGCGCGAGAAGGCATTAGCAGCAATATTTACTTTGTTGACCGATGAGCTTTGGTATGTCAGGCGTATTTACTATTCGGCAGTCATGGTCAAATACTTCTGGTCGGTAAGAGTTTGCGCAATTACTTTATCTATTAATCGTTAGATTGGGCTGCACCGCAAAAGTTACTTCTAATCAGCATCGATATCGCCCAGGTCCTTAAATTGTTGACAGCGTTTTTATACTCTTTTTCTAGGGGTACTCCGAACTCTTCACTTTTCCGGCCCTAATTTTTCACGAATTGGGCGAAGGGGTTATATTCGTGACCTTTAAGTTCCGAAATTTCTAAAGGTTTGAATTTACGTCTCTACACAGTAGCTAGAAATATTCTTGTCCTCTTGAGAAATTTCCATTTCGCAAAATTCGCAAAGATTAGAAGATCGCGAACATTAAGACTTTTACAGTACATGAAATTTGCAGTTTAAAATTACCAAGCTTAATTGCGATACATACTTCATAATCCCAGCCCAACGGCAGGCTACCTTATATAAAAGAACGACTTTACGATATAAAATTATTTTATTGAACGCCGAGTGAGTTTACCCGCAACGGAAAACAGCTAACTGATTAATTTTTACTAAATTCATTTTAGTGCTTTTCTCGTACTTTGATATATTTAGAGATATTGTAGGGTTATTTCAGGGTACCAGATCCCAAACTCCTCATTGGTAACAATTAGAAAAAAACAAAACAAAAAAACATTCTCGTGAGTAATTGTGTGGGGCTGCAAGCTAATAAGCTTCACAAAATATAATTATGAATTCGGAAGTGTTTGGCTCGGCCACCACACACTCATTGCTCGTCATCTGTTAAAGCCATTTCGGAGGAAGGAAAATCTCCCCTTGACGTGTAAGAATATTTGATGTCACCATGTTGATTAGTTCTGCCTTTTAAAATCTAATTTATAATATTCACAGTTCGGGACGATTCTCCCCAACCTAAAATCCGCCTTGTTAGGTAAGTACGCAGTAAACGGTATTCATGTGAGCTCGCATCCCCGGTTTTGTAACAACATTGTTGAATTTGGAATGAAACAACCTATATAAGGCATGCGCAACTGCTGCAAGTTACGTCTTGTATATGCTCCGTGCACAACTGTTACAGAATGAAACGGAGAAAATGGAAGAATATTAACGTCTTCAGCTCAGCCGGAATATGCTATTGGGTGTTTTATTTCCAGCTCGTGCCGTTAATTATTGTTCATCAAAATAATGGTATCTGTATTGGCAATTTCCGGAGCACGTATTGTAATCAATAGACATTGTTAGATTTGAAATTGATATTGTCACAAATTTGTATCGATTTTCGTTAAAATCGGCAAAACTTGCGCCGATTTCGAAATCGGCACTGATTTGAACATTATGACGTCGGTGACGTGGTGCTTGTGTCCAATTTATGAGCTGCAGTCAGCCGTGGCCCTTCTGTCTGAACCCTTCAGAACCGAACGGATCATGGTAAAGCTGGGAAGCATTCAGAAGAACACAAAAAAAGGTATCACCTGTTTTGGGAAATTTCTCAGCGGAAATCACGTTTCTGGTTATTTATTCTCATGGGATAGTTTTATGTACAACGTAAAAAACAGTCAATCAAATGTGAGTCCAGTATCGTTTCACTGCCCCTTTAGGAAAGAATACGTATAAAAAGCGCAAAAGAAAAAAAAAACCTTCTCTTTTTTTGAGTGTAAGAGGAAGCAATGCAAAATGAAATCGTTCGATGAAATCTCGTTACATAATCCGAGGGTTCGAAGGTAATCGTTTTATCGTCTGTTGAGCACCAGAATACAGCGCATTCTAAGAAACTGTAAAGCGGATTCCGGGAGGATTAAGTAGACGCGTGTTATCCTCGTTTTCGTTGCAAAAAGTTGACCTTGGATACTAAGGTGAAATCGACATTGCGATTTGGTTTTTATATTGAGCAGAGTGAAAGAAACAATGCTTTGTCTTCAGCTAGAATGCTGCACAGCATAATATTAATTAAGATATTTCGGTCAACTCGGAACGCTGCTAGTCTATTGTTTTGCGTTATAGTACATCTGAAAACTATCAATGTTTTGCTAAACTGTTCCAATTTTGCTCTTCACCAATGACATCAAACTGAATTTATATCCGATCGTGATACTGACTGCATGTTCATGTTGTGTTCTTGCTAGTTTTTGCTTATTCAATCATCATCAAATAAGCAGTTTTTGTTCATACACTACCACGTACATACAAAGCAACAATTCAACGAGTTTCTGCTGTACGTGGTCTTGGCGTTCTTTCTGACGGTCATCGTATACGGTTCGAGTACAAGAAGTAACAGTGGGTAGTTTCCTACATGCACTGGGCTTTATATATCACTCATGGCGAGATAGTTTTTAAAATTTTAAATTTTATCATCCCTCATTTTGGTCCTTGGTACGCTCCAGACTGGGGTTTAGTGGGCAACGCTATGTGGTGCATATACGTATAACTGTGAACCTGAACGAGCTCAAAGCATATATTTTAGACTGGCGACGACAGACATTTCAATTGCCGTTGATGCTACGTATATGATAATAAATCTCTCTCCTTCAATAGTTTTACTTGAGCGAGGTGTCTCAACAGTGAAAAATTCGTAATGTGGTGTTGTTACACAAAGTTATCTTCGGTAAAACTGACAGCATTCTTTTGCTATATCACCAGTTCATTTCATTCACCTATCTGCAGTGACAGATTTTTCTTGCCTTTTTTATTTCAACAACGCAAATTGCATGCCTCGCTCATGTCTAGAAGAATTCTTAATTTAATCAAAACGCACGATGTTAATCTAGACGCCTTCTCAAGTCGCATTATTATATTGAAGAAACAACTGTTGCGCTACATGTTTTATGCATGATCAGTGATTGTATTGGTATTGTTTTAGATGTTAAAATTTGAAATAGTATAACGGTAGCGCTCAACGTTTCTATAGTATTTGTTCATCTGGTTCGTATTGCTCAGTGTACCAGTAAGAACGTTCCAAGCCCGGTTTAAGCATTGACAAAAATAAAATATAATTATTATTAAGGCAAACCAAGCAGAGGTGGTACACGTATGTGTGACGAAGCGAGTGCCGTGGCACCCGGGAACGATAATACAGTTTACCGTGCTCTCGCATTCTCTTTGATCAAATGAAACTTCTAGTTGTGTGATAGGAATCTCTACTCCACTTTCGTCATTGGAAGTACTCAAAATTCATAAGATGTGTATCTATATATATATATATATATATATATATATATATATATATATATATATATATATATATATATATATATATATATATATATATATAAATCAAAGATGCGTACTGTCGGAGTTACCAACTCGAAGTTTATTACGACCGTTAAAAAAAAATGAACTGACTTTCAATTGAAAGTGTAAAGGACTCACTCAATAGACCTCATTCAGTCTCAATTGAAACTTAATTGACTTTTTCTATTGAGTCGCTATTGATCCGTCGCAGACTATTGGCCACTGAGTCTTAATTGAATTTTTAGCAATTGAATTTCAATTGAATTTTGGCAATAGTGTTTCAATAGAACTTTTGCTATTGAGTTTTAATAAAAATATTGCAATTGGCTTTCAATTGAATTATTGGAACGTGCTTCAATAGAATTTATTGCAACTGCATTTTAAAAAAATGCTCTGGTTGAGAATTTTTTTTCACAATTCTTTAAAGCATGCAACATGAAGGAAACAAAGCACATAGAGGAAACGAACACAAACATCGTAACTAAGCACTCACAACCCACTAATCGTAATCCCTTGACTACCCCACCGCCTTATATACCCTACATAAGAAAGGTATTCATTTGGCCGGTGACCACCTCAGCATCTACTAAGGTTCCCAGTTTCCTATTTCCTCCTTGAAAGTCTCATAGATGATAAACAGTGTTTCGACGTCATTGGACTCTATCCCTTAATAGAGAAACATTGGTACAATCAGTAATCGTTCGGTGCACACGGGTGCAGTAATCCACAAACGACCAAACTCAATTGCATTCCTAATGAGTATATTCAATAGAATCGATATTGACTTTTTTATGACCAAACTCAATTGCATTCCTAATGAGTAAATTCAATATGATCGATATTGAGTTTCTTATGACCAAACTCAATTGCATTCCTAATGAGTAAATTTTATAGAATCGATATTGAGTTTCTTATGACGAAACTCAATTGCCTTCCTAATGAGTAAATTCAATTGAATCGATATTGAGTTTCTTATTACCAAACTCAATTGCATTCCTAATGAGTAAATTCAATAGGATCGATATTGAGTTTCTTATGACGAAACTCAATTGCCTTCCTAATGAGTAAATTCAATTGAATCGATATTGAGCTCTTAATGACCAAGCTCAATTGCATTCCTAATGAGTAAATTCAATAAAATCGATATTAACTTTCCTATGATAAAACTCTATGGCATCCCTAATCAGTAAAATCATTAGAATTGCTATTGAGTTTCTAATGATCAAACTCAATTGCATTCTTAGTGAGTAAAGTCAATAGAATCGATATTGAGTTTCTTATGATCAGTCTCAATTGCATTCATAACGAGTAAATTCAAAAGAATCAAAATTGAGTTTCTAATGATCAAACTCATTAGACATTGAGTTTATAATGAGTTTCAATTGACTCTATAGGAACACAGTAGAAAGTCAATTGAAACTCATTGATCATTTTTGTGAGGGAACGTTTCGAGCGGGGACCGCTCTTCATCAGGTAGCGAGTGTACAGCCCGTGAATGTGTATATACCCCTAAAAAAGTAGGAAATGGAAACAACGCTGTGAAAGCAGATATCTGTCTGTTTTGACAACGTTGTTTCTATTTCCTACTTTTTTAGGGGTATATAAACATTCACGGGCTGTACACGCGCTACCTGATGAAGAGCGGTCCCCGCTCGAAACGTCGTAATAAACTTCGAGTTGGTAACTCCGACAGTACGGAGTTACCAACTTATTAACTTTTCCCGGTCCATTGTTTTTAAAATCTTCACCTATAATATATATATTTTTTTTAAGAAGTGGTTATTTGTTTTAGTAAATTCCTAGTGAGCACGCTTGACATAAAGGGAGAAACGTTTCTCTAGGAGTCCAGGGCTATTGACCAGAACGTGCTTGGAGTAAGGGAAAGTGGAAAGCATAGCAATGAGAGAAAATGTTGAGGTGAAAATTTCAACATCAGAAATTATAGCAATATACGTGATATTTGGTGGCCTTCGAGGACCTGTGTAGCAGTCCATCCTAAGTTTTACCATGTCCTCTCCAGTCCGCACAAGGTATGTCATACTATCGTCCTTTTCTCTGCACAACTAGCAAAATCTCCGGAATCTTTTCGTCTAATGTATCAGTGGAAGTGCAGTGCATATCGGTAGTCGTATATAGTAGATGTAGAACCGCCTATCGCGTCTGGCAAGTCCAGACGGTGCTCAAAAGTTAAGTTAGGGGTCTGGGAAATAGTGGAGACTGTATGGTCTTGACGGCACTACCTCTTTGCCCTGTGACTGGCGTTTCCCTTTTATGAACAAGAAAATTTACGTCAAAATAGATCAAGAAACGACACTTTTACTTTCTGGTGTTTCATTTCTATTGACACCACAGTTATACTATATTAATTGAATAAAAAAAAAAAGACTTGTTTGACATATCCGTGTGGCAAAGCCAGAGACTTGCGGTTGAGTGGCCCATTCTCCAACTCTCGATTTGGTGTAGAGTGGCGCCTCAATGATTAAAATCATGCACATCTGTAGCTAGGACCCGTCCTAAGGTCTAACAAGTTTAGTGCACTCAGTTAGTGTCCGAGTTACAGAGGTTTCACTGCACACAGTAAAAGGCAACAAAACAAAACAAATCAGGAAACAAACAACCACTGACCCTCTTCTTCGTTATGTTTTGCGACGCGTCTTCTAGTTAAAAGGTACTGTGACCCCGGCCAATTGGTAACTTCCGCAGAGTGACGACGGTTCCACTTCTATCGTATAGTGGGCGTCTGAGGGGCCCCATAGCGCCCCCCAGTGGCTTTGTGCGGGAGACCGTGCACTCACAGAGGATATAGCGCGCCACGTTGACGATATTGGTAAGCGTTTGAACATCGAGCGCCTTGCTGCGGGGCTCCCAGGGTGCGGGGTGGGGCGAGGTCCAAGGATTGTCGAGGGGGCCCGTGTCGCGCAGCCGAGGGCCTTCGGGGCTCGGCCAGGGCGGGTCCGGACCCCAGGCGCTGTTACCTTGGCGCAGCACGCTGTCCTGGCCGCCCAAGAGCCCGCCCAGCGCCAAGCCGGCGCTCAGCAAGAGCGCCGCACTCAGCGTCGCTGATGCTCGCGGCCCGACGCCGGTGGACATTCTGCGAAGGAGGCGAGAAGGAAGGGCCGTCACGTCAGGAATTACCATTTTTCTCTGTCAGCACCGAATATGTGTGCAGCGTCTCATTACTTCGTGTGCACTCACTCCCTATTCTGATGAACACACTTTAAAAGAACATGAACCGGACCACTACTATTGTCACTGACAGAATGAAAACGGCGGGTAGGTGCCTCCAGTGATCCTAGAGCTGGCACGCGCAGTCAAAGCACGGCGGGACGCAACAAGCGCGTGCTGGAGGCCGACCATTAGAAGGAGACGTGCACCGACAAAAGCCCAAAAACGGGCTTTTGTCGGTGCCATTTTCAATGTTCGTGCGTTTGGCGCGTGCTTTTCGCACATTCTGAAGCGACATACCTGCGCGTGCTGAACAGTGGAGATCGTACGCATGGCTGGGGATTTGTAAACATTGGAATGCGCAGTGTCTCAGACTGCTCGATCGCTGTCAAATAGTTTATGAAGCGCGTTGGCATTGTTGGGAAGTACTTTAAGTACACTCTAAAACAAAGGGTGTATTGTTAGACCCTTTGTCTCATATAAGGTACCCCAAAACTTGAGTTCGACGTATACAGCGCACTGACGTCGATCTGACGGTACTTTCACGGGAAGCTTGATAGCCGTGTGGTAGAATAACTTATTCAAATAGCTAATATACGTTTTACTAACTACAAAAAAGATCGGGGTTTTCTTGGCCCTACTGCAAACGCTCAGTGTTTTCTTTCTCTGGTGCTTGATACGTACTCTAGCTATTTAATATGTTATATCGCACTGTTATCAAGCCCCTCGTAAAATTTAGTGCCGTCTGTTCGACTATAGTGCGCTGTACTTACGTCGAACTGAAGTTTTGGGGTGCATTATATGGGACGAAAGAGTGTAAGGTGATACCACCCCCCTCCTTCTTTTTTAAAGTGTACATTGAACTTAAAGTACTATTTACTTCAAGGAGGTTTGGCATACTTGTGCTTAACGTGAAGTACATTCTCTGAGTATATACTTTTACTTTACTTAAATTACTTTTGTCTGGTACTTTCCGAGGAAAGTACAACTCCCGACTTCAAAGTAAATTCCCCCAATTTCGTCTTGTTAAATTTGTATCACAAAACGATGCCTTGTCAACTCTGAAGCCGTTCGACTTTATCCGATATTCGCCGCCCCTTCCCAATATAACTGATGCACCCCCAATTAAATTACTGCCAACACGTGGCTGAGAGAGCTATCCATATGGCTTGACTGTAATCAACTTAATCTATATGCTACAAAAACAAAATACGTAATTTTTAAGCCACGAACTAAGCCTGATGATTGTGAAATTGTTTTCAATTCCAAGATTGTGATTAATTGTGTCAATGTCTATGAATTCTTAGGAGTTCTTTATGAAGAAAATCTTAAGCTGGAAACCTCATATAAATAAAATTCATGCCAGCATCTCTAGATCTATTGGTATTTTACACATAATTAGATTGCTGGTTCTATGCTGGTTAAATCGTCAGCTGTACTATACTTTAGTGCACTCTCATCTCCATTACTGTCCATCAGTTTGCAGATCAGCGACTAAAACAAATATTGATAGGTTGTTTCTTTTGGAAAGAAAAAAGAAAAGCAGCATACGGTGTGTACGAAACCTTCAGCGTACTGAGGCACACATCAAAGTTATTTTTTAAGCACAGTCTTCTTACAATTAGCCATATATTTTTCCATGTACTTTCAATATATATAAATAACAATATAATTAGTAACCAGTCCCGTTTTTTACGTACTTCTTCCTAGTAATACACAATACAATCTTCGATAGGGCTCATATAAAATACCTTGGTATCGGACGAATTATGGACATCACCAATTAGCATATTTAATACCGGATTTTTTAAACAAACATCCAGTCGTTATGGAAACGACTTCAGATTGGGCTTAAAAGCATAGCTTTGAAAATAGTAAAGAACGGTACCTTCCATTATGTCGCGTTGAATAAATACTTTCAGATAGCGTTTTCATTGCTTTTGAGTTGTATTACATGGCTTATATTGCATTTCCAAAGACTTGAAAAGCACTGACGATTGTATAAACTCTACGCACAATATGCTGTTCTGATTGTTGATGTGTTACTGTACCTTCTTGTACTTCTCTTTAATGTGTATTAATTTTGTTTTCGCCTGCTGAGCAGTGTAAACGGGTAATAGGGCCACGTCAGGCAGCATCAATTTGCGTTTTTTCCCTCTTACCCTAGACCTGGTGTCTAAAAAAAAAAAAACCAATTCAATTCAATTCAATCACCCCTAAGAAAATGCATACCAGTTTAAAAAAAATGTATTGAGGAATGAAAGGGTGGTTTGGGGGGGGGGGGGGGGGGGTTGTCACAAAAATATAGGGTGTCCCCCCAAAAAATGTACAGCGTTTTATTCGCCATAAAAATATATTACGTATCACAGAACGCTCATTCTACGCCAAAATGTAGCCCTTGCGGTCCAAACCAGATGCCAAAGTTTCAGAACTAATCGCTATTTTATTCAAAAGTTATAAACGATTTTCTTAAATTTTCAACGGGAAATGGCGGCCGATGGACCTCCTATAATACGTGGAGTTGAATGGCGCCAGTTACTAAAAGCGGGCGAAAACGAACCTCATTTTCCATTCAAAATGTTTAGAAAATCACCTATAACTTTTGACTGAGATAACGGTCAGTTCTAAAACTTTGGGATATGATTCGAATCGCTAGGATTACATTTGGGCGGAGAATGAGCATTCGTAATGCGTAATCTAATTTCGCAATAAAAAAAATAACTAATTTTTCGGGGAGACAGCTTGTACCCGTACTTTACTTCGAAAGTGCATTGCATTTACTGTATCGGGCGTCCGCGAGAAAACCGAACCCTGTTTTTTGCACCGCAAAAATAAACTAGACATCGAGAAGATCTCAACTCTGTCAGAACGTAGCCCCAGTCGTCCGAGCAAGACGCCAAATTTTCAGCACCAACCGTTATCTTATTCAAAAGTTACGAGTGATTTTCTGAAAATTTCAATAAGAAAATGAAGCCCATTTTCGCCTCTTTTCGGTATCTGGCGCCATAGAGCTTCGTGTATTCGAGAGCTCCGTCGGCCACCATTTTTCCATTGAAATTTTCAGAAAATCGCCTATTACTTTTGAATAAGGCAGCGGTTGGAGCTGAAACTCTGGCATCTTGCTCGAACGGCTAAGGCTACGTTCTGACGGAGTTTGAGATTTCGATGTCTAGTATATTTTTGCGGTGCGAAAAACAGGATTTGGTTTTCTCGAGGACGCCCATTACTTTACTTCAAGTATGTCGCGCCCGGTGTACTAGCTACTTTATTTGATGTACATAACCTCCCATTTTACTTTGTGCTTTACATGAAGTACTTTTTAAATGTACTTTACCCAACACTGCGCGCTTGTAATACAAGGTGCGAGGAGAAGGCGAAAGCGTCGATCGTCTGCAAGATCAGCCTCTTTGCCCGCTATCCTCCTCGCCATGCAGCAACTCATACGTGCGCATGAGCAACCAATCTGCGCGAAAGGTGTCCACCATTAAATCGTAATTCCACGGCTTAATTTCTTTTTCATCGCTTGAGTTTAGGTTTTTTTCGCCACAACACATCACGCAGCAGAAACTAGTACAGAGGCAACTTTGTTGGTGCATGTGCGTCGATTCTATGCTTTCTATTCAACTATTCAAATCTCCCGATTTCATTCAGTTATATGTTTTATAAATAACGTACAAGGAGGCACTAAAATTGTATAGCCGATTACCCATATTGTGCTCTGGAATGCCCTACTCATGAGCACTGTGCAATGTGCGTGCATTCTCAATAAGTTTCCGGCCCTCTTTAACACTTTTCTCCCTTTGAACCCACTGCGCCGCAAGCAGTGAACCGGCAAAATGTTGACAATAAGTTCTCTTAGAATCATAGGTCTCAAAGCACGCGGTTCGAATTTTTCTCGCGGTCTCATCAGGCTTTCTTTTGTCTGAAGTTCCCCGAGGCGCAAAGGATGTAGGCGTCCTGGTAGTTCCGGTCCAGCAAGTTCCGCTGGGCCGGGCCGGAACTTCTTCGGCTGCAGCACAGCGGAACGACACGCTCGGCTCGTCTTCTGGAGCCGCTAGCTTTAAAATGACTGCGGGCTGTTTGTGTGCACAGTCATATAGCTCCTTTACCCCCCCCCCCCCCCCCCCCTCCCGTTATAAATAAAGCGGGCGACATCATCAAGTTGACAGTTGTCCACTGAGGACCGACGAAATCTTAGAGCGTGCGAGTAGTAAAAGCATGAAGGTATCCCCGTCGAGTGATGGCTAGAAGCTCTGCTTTGAAATTATATTTTGCTATACACGAACTTATCTCTGTTACGTCACGCCGCGGTGGTGGCGCGTCGGACGCACTTCCGGTCCGGGGCGGTGGGCGGAAGTGCCCATATGAGACGTGTATTCTTGCGTTGTTTTGAAAGAAACCAGACAAAAACCTGCCTTCTCGTCAAAATGCTGCGACTGGGGCTGTACCAAAAGTGTCGAGAAAGATGTGAAGGTCAGTTTTCATGCGCTCGGTTCGTACGAGAGCGCGGATATGTGCCGCGAAAAGGGAAAACCAGACGCCGTCGGACCACGATTGCTTGGGCTGGAAGCATTTTGGGTTGAATTCACGGATACTTCTGGTCATCAAATTTATTTGTTTTGTTCCAAAATGAGCGCCGGAAAATCGTCAAGTTGTAGGACCACCTGCGGACTACGTTCAGTGCGTCTTCAAGTTCAAACGGCCGCCTGATCGTTCGAACTGTCGTCTGCTCTTTCAACCGTTTCTGCTTATCGTCTGCTCTTTTAGAGGACACCGGCCCGTAGGCCAAACGTGGGCCCGGTACTTGCGATAAGAAGTAAGTGCAGGCCTCAGAAGATTTAAGTTTGAAGGTAGGTAAGCAGGCTGGACGTAAACAGTAGATAGAAGGAGATGTTGATCATTGTTACCAGTGGCCATCACCGACTT